GGGAACGTACATACCCCTAGTGGGTTTGTACCCGCTGAAGTAATTAACAAGTCAGAGAGCTTTGGAGTACTGTAAAGAGGGAAAAATAGGGATTATAATAAGGAAATTTATTTACTTCCTGATGTGGCCAAGGTAGCACCTTTGCAGTGTACAGCACTGGAGTATGGTTTATGTAATAGTTAAAAAGCAAAAAGGGTGCAGAGGACAGATGCAGGTATCTTGCAAGGACTTGAAGAGGTTTTTTTGCAACAAGATAAACGGAAAGACAACATGCTAGAAAGTTCTTTAATATGGTTGGTACCCATTTCTCCTTTATTTAGAGAACTGACTTTGCTCCTCCAGTTTCTGCTGCTGTACCTATTTCTGTAGTGCATTAGCCATATGTTACCACCTGTTATTTGCTCTGGTCTGCTCTTCCTAGGAGGAGAAACATCTTGCTGTAGTTGGTATGTTGTGTTTTAAATATGCATGAAAGTTAAGGCCAAAGAAGCACACCTTGTGCTTGTAGCAGGAGGTGGGAGGCTTATGATTGTCCTTAGTTCACTTTATAATGTTGGAGCAACTTAGAAGCTTTGCCTTTTGCTCAGTAAGTTCTTTCTCTTGGTGTTTTCTTTTCACAGAGAAGCATAGCAATAACTACACTTTTCATCTCAGTATGTCCAGAGTTCCTCACTGAAAACTGAACTTTTCTAGAGTAGGAAAGATAAAGATGGAAATGTTAAATTTGGTTCAGAATTTTATGGAAATGCAGTAAGAGGACTGGCTTTATGTACTTGTAGTATCCTATATCATAAGAAAAAAATTGTGTAGGAATTTTTACTGCCTGCATCCAAGTTCTGACTTCTTCAGTTTTGACTGCAGACTGGAGCAGTTGGTGTATTTCAGAACACCAATGATTGTTTTATCTTAAGACTTATTCAGCAACAACATGTGTATTAAATACATACTATCTTATTGGCTTCCTCAAGAAAGATAAAAGGGTTTTTCTTAGTATATGGTTACATAGAATTGGTAAGAAAGAACATTTTTCATTCTTATTATTAATCACGCTCATATGTAAAGAGGCATTCTCAGATTTTTCTGTTTTCAACCTGATATTTTTAATAGCTCCTCTATTTTTCTTAATTCTTAGTTTCTACTTTTGATGACACTTGACTGTTCTGAGGTGTATGATGTTATGTTTTTAAAGAAAAGAACAGTGAGTTTGGTGTCTGCACAGGTTATACATTACTGTAAAATTCTGAAGCATTTTGTTTATATCTATTCAAAGATTTCAGGCCATGAGTCTCCTGAAAACAAGAGTATCACATGCAGTCATAGTTTTTCTGAATATAGCATTCTGTATTATTCTAAGACTGGTTATCTTCTCAATCTGTGCTGAAATTATAGCTAAGAACTTATTCAGGAGGTTGAGAAGCAAGTAGGGAAGGAAAGGGGACAGTTCACCACAAAGAAAAAATGCATCATATTCCCACTTCCTTAGCCTGCAGTTCCATAAAAAAATTCTGCAAGACTTTTAATTAAATTTAATTTAATTAATTTTTTCATATCAGTTGCGTTTTCTGTGTCCTCTGCAATTTCAGATGTCTGTCATTTATGACATTCCTATTTATTACATTCAGCTAACTGCTGCATCCATAATAACAGTTTGTTTTGTTTTGTAATAACCTGCTGATCAGAACATTCACATAAGAAAAAGGAGGTCTGTATAAATTCCTCTCCAGAGGGGATTTGAAGCCTGCTCTGCATCCTTTAACCAGCAATCTGAAAATCTCTACCATTTTCTTTCATCCTGGTGACACTGAAAGATGGAAATACAAAAGACATGGGACAGAAAGAAAGAAGGCAAATCAAAGCTTAATGTGCTCTAGGGGTTAGGAACTTTGTTTGGAAGAGCACAAATTCTGGTTTGCAGACATTTTTTTTATCTTGGGGCTTATTTATCTTGGTACTTCTTTTCCATATGGCTTAATAATGCTTCCTTTCTTTCACAGTTTGTATTGCCTTAGTTGGTAAATCCTCCACGGCAGCCTGTTTGTTTGTTTGCTTGCTATAACTACATGTTTATAAAAGTTTAACACAAAGTATCTTTCCAAAATGTCCAAGTATATAAAAAAAGAGTTATGTGATAGCTTTGTGTTAAAGAGGTACTGTTGTCACTAACAGTGTGCTTGATTTGAAAAATTTCACTGAAGGGCTATTGTGATCATCATTTTGGTGTCAGAAGCAGCAAACAAATTTTGAAAAGTTTGCTTTTCCTGAAGAGTTCTATAATTAGAATTCGTTTTAACATAAACATACTGTGTGTATTTTTAGTTGTTTGCTTTTGAACCAATTTAAATGAATACAGATATTTAGTAGTGTGGGATAGTACCACTTGCATATGTTGTTTTTGTTACTGACATACTTTGTTATCAAGAGTAGAAACCAGCAGAAGCCACCGGTGTTTCACCCTCATGGTAGGACGCCTGAACTATCCAGTGTCACCTTACAACTTCAGTGATTGCCATTAATGAGTTCCCTGGGACTATTTTCAGCTGTTACACAGCCACAAAGAAAGAGTTGCCTAAAAAGTGCCCCTTTTATCTTTAAGATCTTAAGAAGTTTCGCTTCATTCTGTCAGGTGAATCAAGTTGGGAGATACTAAATCTGTAAATTGCCAGGTGTGACAGCTATCACCATTTTATGTAATAATTGCTTTGAAGACCTAGAAGACTCTCTAGACGATGCAGCTTGTGGCAATTGGAACAAGAAGTACAATTTAATTCGGGTGTGCCACCCTGCTTACACATATATACTGGCTCCGTAGAAAATTCTTTAAAATAAATGAAGCTGTCATAGTGGTTCTTTCTGGTTTTGGATCAGTACAAACCGCAGAAATTAAAGACATCAGTAACATTGGAACCTCTGGTAAGAACAGGGAGACGTATTGAAACACCCAGGTTTTGCTAGTACTTAGCTCATAGCTGTTGAGTGTTTTTTTCCAAGAGATTAATTATTCAGACATCTTACGATCTCCCACATGAAAAATTCTGGTGTTTGTGTTAATTTTCTCTGCATTTTCTGTGCACTGAAAAAGAGCAGCCAACCTACTGCATATAATTTAGTAGCCAAATTCTTGTAATCTTATCTATGCAGAATTGAGTATTTGGCAGTAGCTTGTTATTAGGTAAGAAGGAGAGTAGAGGTAAATACGTTTGACATCCACAATCAAACAATACAATGCCAGCTGTAGTAAGGATTTTTCTTGATGATCATCTTTTTTTTGGTACCATTAAGAGACCTCTCTAATATCAATATATACTGACTTCATAAGCATTTTAATTGGGCCAATTATGAAAGAAATATTACTCTTAGGGGTATAAGAGACTATAAACTCAGAATGCAAAACCCACAGGTTTCTTCAGTGTCTAAACTGAGGAAAGGCAGTATTTTGTAGCATCAGGAGTTCCCAGTGAACTCGTGATATGGAAATATATGTTAATATTAGTGTTTAATAAATAACACAAACAGATTCTTTTTATGTTAAATACCAAGAGAGCTATGATGCTCCATTTAACAAGGAGATTGTGAATGTAAGTGTAGTTTTTATAGTCTTTGCACAGATTTTCCTTTAAAAAAATTATACTTGTCACTTAGCTCTTAGGGTTTTTTTGGCATAAAGGTCAGATACTGGATGGGGAAAATCTTGTGTGGATTCTTCAGTTACATGAATGTATTAGCTGCTTCACATTTTACAATCTATATATAGCAATGCAGTTTCAGACAATCCAGAAAAAGGATGAAAGAAAAATCAGTTACTAGCTATGAGATTAAAAGATCAATGAACGGGTGGGTGTCAAATGGCATGAGTAAAGTAGTAATAGATTTTTATTGACTAGTGGGAAAAACATAGGACAAGAGAGGCCAGTTGGCTGAGCCTGCCATTGTTTGCTTTTATGTTAGCTCTGTGTCACCTTGGTGCATTGTCACTGTATCTTTTAATCCCCTTTCTTTCTTTGAAAGAGCTCTCTTTCTAAGTTAGTTGAATTAAGAGAAGAGTGTGTATATCTCTTCTAAGGCTTTTCATTGTGAACATGCTGCTTAGCTAAAATTACTGAAAAATTGTTATTGTTATAGTTTATGCTTTGGCGTATTACGTGTATTTATCTACTCCTGGGCTGCGCATCCTGTTTCAGCATATACAAGTCACCGTCGGGAAAGCACTTAACGCTGTGAAGCATGTATACCTTCTCATGAATCCAAACACAAGTGTGCAAAAGTGGATCGCATTTTGAATTCCTAATAATTTCTTTTAGAGGACTTTGAGACTGGGAATTACGGAGAGAAATTTCCTGATATCAAACAGCTGGTAGAAGGTGTTTTTCTGGACCCTCGGGTTATTATTTGGCATTTCTTTAACAGTTGTTGATGAGCTGTGTACAGTCCAGCCATTTTCTAAGTAATAATGCAGATAACTAAACCGATTGCACTGTTGAGGGAAGAAAAAATAAAAAAAAAAAAAGGGAGAAACCCCCCCCACCAAAACAACCTGTGCTAAGATTAGGGTTTAGGTTCTGTTTCCCATCGCAGAGATGTTTCTTGTTCAAGCTCTGTTCTTGTAGAAGTTCAAGTCAGTATTGACAGAGGTAAATATTTTAAGTTGTTTGAGTTTTGGTGTGTTGTGTTTGTTTGTTTTTTTTTTTTTAATCTGAACTGGACCAGCAGAGGCACTTGGGTTATTCAAATCTGTCCATCTAATCACATTCCCTTCCAATGAGAACCCCTATTTTGTACATACAAATCATAGAATGGTTTGGATTGGAGGGGACCTTAAAGACCATCTAGTTCCAACCCCCCTGCCATGGGCAGGGACACCTTCCACTAGACCAGGTTGCTCAAAGCCTCATCCAGCCTGGCCTTGAACACTTCCAGGGATGGGGCATCCACAGCTTCTCTGGGCAACCTGTTCCAGTGCCTCACCACCCTCTCCGGGAAGAACTTCTTCCTGATATCCAATCTAAACCTCCCCACTTTCAATTTAAACCTGTTACCCCTTGTCCTGTCACTACAGGCCCTTGTAAAAAGTCCCCCCCAGCTTCCTTGTAGCCCCTTCAGGTACTGGAAGGGGCAATAAGGTCTCCCCGGAGCCTTCTCTTCTCCAGGCTGAACAAGCCCAACTCTCTCAGCCTGTCCTCATAGCAGAGGGGCTCCAGCCCTCTGAGCATCTTCGTGGCCTCCTCTGGACTCGCTCCAACCAGTCTATCTCCTTCTGATGTTGAGGGCTCCACAGCTGGACGCAGCACTCCAGGTGGGGTCTCACCAGAGCAGAGCAGAGGGGGAGAATCCCCTCCCTCGACCTGCTGGCCACACTTCTCTGGATACAGCCCAGGATACGGTTGGCTTTCTGGGCTGCCAGCACACATGGCCGGCTCATGTCCAGCTTTTCATCCACCAGTACCCCCAAGTCCTTCTCCTCAGGGCTGCTGATCTTGTCATCTCGTTCTAGCACCAAAAGCAGTTGTAGAAACTCTCCCTTGATGCTCCCATGAATGTACACTCTAATTTCACTAAACAACTACAGATCTCTAGGAGGCAGTATTTTGATTAAACAGCAGGTGTTAATAAACCTGAGGATAAAATGCCTAAAACGGATGCCTCAGTGCTACCTTGCCACAGTGTTCTCATTTTTCTCAGCAAGTCAGCCACAGAATCTCGTATTTCAAGAAGAATATGTTCTTTAAAAGAACAGAACTTTATTTCTTACTACAAAACTTCAATCATACAAGATGTTAAAATTAAATTAATCTTTCCCCCGTATGCTGTTAAGCCAACTCTGTTGTCTCAGCAACTAGAAAAACAGGATTACCCTACTACAGGCCTGACCAAATGGTCAGTGGTCAGAAAATCAGCAAGAAAAAAGTAGCTGAAATTAGTCAACAATTTATTGCTTTGTAGTTAATTAACTAAGAGACAGTTCTTTAGCTTGTGACTGCAAATCCTCCCCATTAATACATGTTTAGACTTACTTCTGAGCACTGGTGCTCACCTTTTCAATTACTTTACTCTGTTTTGTAGTTCCTTACCTCTGTCGTCTTAAACCCAATATAACGACTCAGGACAGAATAAACTGTCATTTCGTGAAGTATTAGATCCACTGAATGTATGCAGATGGACTGTGCTGTGTATTGCAGTAGGCCTGATGCTTGGGCTCGCTGCTTGTGTAGCTCAGTACTTAGGCAAATGTATTTATATTTGAAGTCCATGTGAGCAAGACAACAGTGCACTGCTCAAGCACCAAAATTAATCCAAACCACAAGGCTATTCCTGGGGTTCTCTTAGGGAAGAGATGAGCAGGCCTTGTGAATTGTTATGGTAGGCTTCGTACAACAGAACTGTATATGGGTTGAATATTCCTGCTCCACATATTTCCTTTCTTTTGCCTTAGTCCTTAAGGCCAGGCTGGATGAGGCTTTAAGCAACCTGGATCTCCCTGCCCATGGCAGGGGGTTTGGGACTAGATGATCTTTAAGGTCCCTTCCAACCCAAACCATTCTATGAGTGCATACTGAAACACCAAAATTCTTGCACATTTTGAGGAGTGGCATTGTTATTTGTACTCCAGTGTTTTACACTCAGTAATCCAAAGAAATTTCTGCAGTGCACTAACATGTTTACTTACTCAGTATTTTAAAATACTCAGAATTGTTAACAAAAGGCTAAAAACATACCCACAAAAGAGGTTACTCTGTACCATCTCCATGTTTACTGTGCCTAGTTCTGTTCAGTTAGTAAATGAATGCATGTGTGCACCAGGGGTAAAAGCATTTTAGAGCACTTTGAAAAGGACTGAGTAATTCTTTCCCATTTAAAAAAAGTAACTGACATAATATAAATGAAAGTCAATTTGACTTTTTTTTTTATTATTTCCATAATGTATATTTATATTCCATTTCCAATTTATGTGTTTTTTGTGGGTTGTTTCTGTGTTGGCTATTAAAAGTCATTGAGCTTTGAAAGGGTAATTCATTTACTTCAGCAGCAAATGTAGATTCAGTAACAGTGCTTCATTATTCATAGAAGGGAACTAGAGCATGGAGCAGTTTGTCAATTTTAAAATGTTTTTCTCAGTACAGTGTTTCTTCAAAGGGCAAAGTAATGAATCATAAATTAACAAACATCAGGTTGACTAAGTAATTTTTTCTTTTCCTCATTGTCTCCTTTTCTCCTGCACAATGTACTCAGATTGGTTCTCTCCTCTGTTTCGGACTACTTTGCGGCAATGTTCACTAATGACGTACGGGAAGCAAGACAGGAAGAAATCAAGATGGAAGGTGTGGAGCCAAATGCACTGTGGGCTCTGGTTCAATATGCATATACAGGTAATTAGTATGAAAATGGGAATTTCATCTAATGAATTGTCCTCCTGTGAGCATTATATTCCATTCCTAGATTTCAGATGCTCTTTAGAAATTATTATTCACATTATTTCATTTCTTACAAACAAATAAAAAGAAATCACCATTGCCGTTACCTAAGGCAACTGGGTAGGATATAGTTTCTCTGATAATACTATATTCAGTTAGGTAACAAATTATAGGAATATTTTAAATGTATTATGACTGACAAACCCAGGAATTGTATTAGGATTCCCTTTCCTTACCTCATTATAGGTTCTGATTTTGAAAAGCTGGTTATCTGTTGCTGAGGGGGACGTTAGCTAAGCCTTACATTCTGTCATATAATCTGTAAATAATTCTGTTGCCTCTGAATTTTTGGGAATTTAACAAATAATAAGAGCAAACTAATGTGATCTCCTTTTTAATGTTACTAGGTCGCCTTGAATTAAAAGAAGATAACATTGAGTGCCTGTTGTCTACAGCTTGCCTTCTTCAGCTCTCTCAGGTTGTAGAAGCATGTTGTAAATTCCTAATGAAGCAGCTTCACCCGTCCAATTGCCTTGGAATCCGATCTTTCGCTGATGCGCAGGGTTGCACTGACTTGCACAAGGTGGCTCACAATTACACTATGGTATGTTGTTATTTTAAGTATCATCTGCTTTATTTAGTAAGGAAAATACAGAATGTTTTCCTGAACAAAATACTAATGTTTTCCTCCCAGAAAGCCTTGATCATTTTCCAAGCAAGAATGCACATATGTTCCAGTGATGAGAAATGACAAAGTAACTATAAAGTTGCTGGTTTAGAGTTGGAAGGAAGCGGCCAAGCATTAATGGTTCCCTCTATGTGTGATACGCATTTAATAGAATCATTCAAAAGCTTGTTCATGTTTCTGTCAGTCAAAAACTACAAACCTAACAGTGGCAAGCTGCCACCATTGAGTCCAAAATAACACATTGCTGAATGAAACTGTAGAATTCTTGTTTTGTAATGAGCTGGAATAATCAGGTTCTAAGTTATACTTGGGGTATGTATATGGGCATTCATCAATGTAGGTTCTGCATTATCCTTAATTTCTCAGTAATGGGATGTCGGGGTGGCATCAATTAATTTAGTTTTAGGCTAGACAGTATGTGACTAAATACAAATTTGCCAGTGGTACTTTCAGAGTTAATTTATAGAAAGACTGACCTGGCACCTTAATTAAACTTCATCTTCTTAGTAGTCATCCTTTTATTTCAATATAAAATGTTCTTTTCCTTCTCACAAGCGTATTTTAGTAATGTTATCAGCAGAAGGCGGCGGGCGAATTATCTCTGAAACAAGTCAGTTCGTCTGTTCTTTGCGGTTTTGTGAGGCATTTTTCTTCGTCTTGATGAAATTTCGCCTATGTAAGCTCTTGGGACCTGAATGAGGGCATGTAGATACTGCATAAGAGATGTGGGAATGAAGATAGTACTTAATTTGCTTGTGTGCCATGGCATTGCATTGCCGTTAAGCTGTTGGCTTAGATCCAAGAGGTGTCATTTTTGTGTGTAATTAGTATTACACATCCGTGGCTTTTCCTCTTGCTGCTTTGGTTTTTGCTAGTTTAAAAACTTTCTTATTTTTTAATATTTCTTCTGGGCCTAAAATAACTTAGTATCTATAACAGTTCAAAATGCCTCTTTTTTTTTCCCTAGTATGATAAAATGTTCTTCCTCAGCGGGTGTATCTCTGATGTATTTCAAGTCATGTACACACCAAAATTCACCAAAACTGGTCAATAAATAGTATGCAGATTGAAACTTATACGTTTCTATTCTTGATCTTCATTATTGCTCAAAGAAAAATAAGGAGACAGATGAAACAGTAGAGATAGATGTGGCTTATGCCTTTGAGGAATATTAGACTTAAAGTTGAGCGAGACAGCGGTACAAAAAGTCGGCACAAAGAGAACCTCCTTCCTCTGACCTGTTTGTTCTTTTTCAGAATAAGCGTATATTTTGGTCTGTGCTATTGTTATGTCCCTTATAAGTGGACTGCCAAGATCAGAATGGTAATAAATGTTAGACAGTGCATCTTTAAAGGTGAACCATAGGGATTATAGGCTTACTGTTTTGACTGGCAATTCATGACTTGTGGCAGAAAGGGACTGTGAACTTTCTAAAAGCCATTCTTGTACAGCACCTATCTTTCTTTTGTTCAGACCACAGGAAAATAGTTGTATACCTTTTGGCAGTTGTTTACTTCAGTGTCAAAATTGTTGCTTTTAAGGCATCAATGTAGATGAAATTTAAATTAGGTGGATTTTAAAAAGCCATTTTCAGAACTAATTAGTTGTGCTAGATGGATTCTTCCCAAGGCCTCTTTTAATGTTGTTTAGTTCCAACAGAGACATGAAATTGAATTTTAGTAATAATGAGTAATAGAGAAGCAGCTCCTTTACTTTGAAATGAATGTTGCTATGGAAACTGCATAGAAATGTATAGTCCAATTGAATCTTCAATTAAAACAAATCCCCAAGTAATTTCATTTGTTTAAAAGCTGTTTGAAAAAAGAAAATGTTTAACAGTAGTAAACGCTAGCCACTTGATGCTCTTACCATTAAGAAATACTACAGCATGAGGCTTAAGCACACCTGTAGTACCCGGAAATCTGTTCGTTAAAACAATGAATAATTACTGTTTTCTGCAGTGGGCAGCATAGAGCAATGGGGGATTGATTATACTGAGTGTAGTATATGAACACTTTGGCTTTTCCATATAATTTTGAATCTTTTAAAGCACTTGAAGTAGAAGGCAATGAATAATATAAACTTACATTTTCATTTATATACATTATTTTCTAAGTTTTTCTTTGCCTTTGAGAGAAAAAACTTTCAGATTGCCATATCACTGTTTTCTGCAAATAAAACAACTTCTCAGTTTTCAGGGTTTTTATGACACAGGCTATAATTTGATAATCATCTTACCTGCTTCATTAAAATAGTTCTTCACATGAAGAGCAGAAATTCAGATGAAATCAGCATTTGGTTAAACTGAAGGACAAATCAGTGAGTTACCCCAGTAGGCCTAGCTCTGTTAATAGGCCAGCTTTGTCTGAATAGTGTTCATTAGTGTCACTGGAAAGCATTAGCATGATTTTAATCGCGTAATACAGTGCAATTAAAAAAATAAATTAATAAGAAGGATTTGAATGCTGCACTTCATATTAAAGATGTAGATGTATGTTATCCTAAAAGGACTGAAGTGTGGCATTACTTTATTGCTTACTGTGTTGACAGTTCATTAGTTGTTTTTTCAGAGGAAAATAGTTTTTAAGGTTATCATAAACAGGTCAATTTTTGACATTGCAAACTGAAGCTTGAAAAATCCTCAGGATGCATTAAGTGCAACATGAAATAAATTGCAGTGAGCAGTGACGGGTTTAATGCTGTGTAAAGAGCAACTCTGATTTTTATGCATTGGGGTTTTAAAACACAGTTGGCAATCATGATAAGTATCTGGTACTTTTTGTACAAAGGTTATCCTTTTTTGCTGTAGTTTATATATAGTATCAGGGTCATACAGTTATAAATTTAGGAATTTTATTGGACTGGCCAGTAGTGTATCTGTTCAATTCATAGAGCCTTTTTTGCACAAAATTCCCTCTGTGCCTTTTTCTTGCTGTCTTCTCAAAGTCAAAAGAAACACCCCTTTTGTCATCTTAGTTTGTTTGGAATAGTTGATTGTGTACCTTGAATGAAAAACAATACTTCCCCTTCCACAAAAAATATAAAACCAGATGGAAGTTAATGCTTTCAGGTGAGGAAAAGCTAGCCTCTCTTATTTCCAGAACATGAAATACCTTTGGTGAGTAGTGAGGTAAGTGTCAGTAGCTTCTTCAGTAACTAGATTTTAGCTCTTCTAACTACAACCAAAAAAGAAAACGCAGACATTCTAAACATTATACATGACAGTGCCTGAGTCAATCCCTGTGTAGATAGCTTTGTAATCTTTGTTGCTCAGTTTTCCATGCTTGAAGTACAGTGAAAAGCCATTTTGATTTTCACCAGAAGTCTTTAGAAGTACGTGAGCAGTGATAATGTTGCAAGAAAGATAATTTTGAAGTTTGCACGATTTCTGAGCACAGCCAATGGCTGTTCATAAGAAGAAAAACTTAGGATAAAGTAACAGACTGAGGCCAAGTATAGAAGCTAGTAATTGCAGAAGAATAGATGTGGTACACAGACTTGCATTCTCCTCTAAGATAGGAGTTGGGTAACAAAAAAAATCATTGCAGTATGGAGTTTGTGATTTGGGAGAAGGAGTCTAAGAGGCATCATTTGTCTTTTTTCATGACAGTTCAAAACCAGCCAGGTCGAAAATAGCCAGGATAGTTTTTTCCTGGGGAGGGTGGAGCATGAAAAGAGGAGAAATTTCAGTATTTTCTGTGTCCACAAAGGGCCAGACCCAAAGATTATGTTAGTGTGTAAACCAAGGATTTTATAGTCTCACACCTGAAATTGCAGTCCAAACTATCCTGCTCAGTAATCATCTGACTTGGAAAATACTCATTCACTTCACGTTTCTGCATGCTGCCCAGCCTGTCTTGGAATCCAGAATCTCTGCAGAGAGGGGTCGAGCTATTGTAGTACAGCCTAGGCACACCGAAAGCATCTGGTTGGTTTAGCTACAGTAAAGTGGCTGCTATCTGGCATCTGTCTGACTAGGAATGGTTTACCGGGAGGTCAGATTGGTGAATTCATACCTCAGTTGGCCAGCCGACTGAAGCAGCCAGGAGACAAAAGGACATTCCCTGTTTGTTCTCATTCAGATCCTGTGAGTCAAGCACCTCTCGCTTTTTGCCTGCCCAGGTTCAGAGTTTCAGCAGAGCCCTGTGGTTAGAGCTGCCTGTTGGGCCACCTCAGTGTCCCGTCCTCTCAGCCAGTGGGATGCTCGGATGCTCTCCGGGGTTTTAATCCTTCTGCCACGGGGTAGAGGGAGACTAACCATCTCACTGGGTCCCACTCTGGGGATTAAGTACCCTTAGAAATAAGCATCAGGGCGACTTATCTTTTATGTGCTCCTAATATTTTTTTCTCTGCGTCAAGTCCAAGGCAGACCTGTAGTTCAGTTGCTGAAGGGCGAATTTAAGGTCATGATGTCTATGAGCATTGCACAGCACTGAGCACGGGACTGCCTGTCCCTGTTTTAGCTGATACCTAAACCTCAGGCTACTCGATTGATAAAGATTGCAGGGTCTTTGAGGAACTAATTTTGGGGGTGGGAAACTATTTACTTTCAGGACCAGAAAGCAAGGGACTGAAACTGCAGACCATTTGTTCTCTGAAATATCCTGTTCTTCCACAGAGAGTTCCCATAAGAAGAAGAAAAGAAAAGGCTAATGAGGAGGTTAAGAATGCTAGGAGATACACTGGCTCCTCCTTTTTGTCTTCAGAATCTCTGTCTGTAGAGGAAGAGGAATTGTCAGATTCTGATTACTAAAACCCCAGACGTAGGCCAAAGAGTGGCTGTATTCCCAGTGGAATGCTTTGATACTGTGCTCCACAGGAGTCTCTGCTTTAAAAATAGAATGGGAGCAAGAGGAAGTTGAACTTGTTCCCATCAGAGAGCAATTGTCTGCAAGCAACAAGAAGGAAAATCAGGCTTTTTACACACAACAGCTGGTGAAGTGATGAAATCCAGTTGGAAAAAAGCTTTCCAAAGAGGATCCCTGACTGACTTATGCAAGATCAGCTTGTGTTGCCGTCAGAGACAAAGGAAAATTTCCATGCAGGTGCTTTTCCCTTCCTCTTCTTGTGATCCGGATAGACAATATGGAAAGTTGAAGGTAGTAAGTGTTGGCTTTTTGCTTTGTCAGTGCTCACTGCCTTGTTTATTCAGCAGAACTAGAAGCACAGCTCCAGCTTGCATATCCTCTAGGACAGAGAATCAACAAAATAAAACCTGCAGTGGGAAAAATGAACTCTCTGGAACCTGAATTTCTGTGAACTGCATGTTTAAACTCTGGAAACAATTTTGATTCTTTTTCAGCTTCAATTTTACTCCCAAGCATTTGATATTAGAGTAAAATAAACAGCAGTGCGTGTGTAGTGGTACAGTCCTTTCACTGGTTTTCATTCCTGTATTTGCTCATTTTCTTAACTTTCATTTTGTAATACAGAGAGTTAAACGAATTAAAGAGGAAAAGACAGTTCTATGTCCCTTCTAATCTACTACACTTTTCACTTGGGCTGCTTTTGTGTAGCCAATTGGATCTCTCTAGTAAGAAAGCTTTTCAGGTATGAAATGTAAAATTTTCCTTTCCAAATTCTATCCAGGAACGCAGTTATGTGCCACAGATAACACTCTGAATTCTCCTAAGTGCAACTCCAGAGGTACCTGTGGAGTCACTTTGATCTTTCCTCTCAGACATCCCGTAGCCATCTTACGCATATGTGGCTTTCCTGTGAGGCGGACTGGTTTACTCCTTATTAGTTTTTTCCTCTTTGCTCAGCATTCTTTAATTAGTAGTTAATATTTTTGGAGTACTGAGGTATAGCTTTGAAATGAATGGACTAAGCAATAAAAAGGAAGTGTTACCTTCTTTGCTTTGTTGTCATGATGTCCTTTGCATATGCAATGCCAAACTGTACTGTATGTTTTTGTTGCCATTTTATATGCTAAATTCATACCTGTTTTACAGTGCAGGTCCTGCTTCTGCTCCCAAGTTTCTCCGCCCCTTTTTTTTTTGACCTAAAAATCCTTTTTTTTTATATTCCCACAAGTATGTGTTTCTAATCCAGAGTTTTTTCATTAGCATGCAATTCTTTCTATTTAAGTCATTAGACAAGATCCTAAGTAAGGCTGATTTTGATATTAGGCCCAGTTAGAATTCTCCATCTGTGGATCTAATGCACTTTATTCTCCAGGTGTTTTGGAGGTACACGTGATGGCAGAGCAAACCCAGCATCCTGTTGGCTACCTGTCTAGCGTTTACTAAATTGATTGTAGTACTGTTTTATCACCAGGAAGTTACTCATGGTTTGGAGTAAAAGGTTAAATGGGTTTTGAGCTACCGAAATACAGGAACGCGTTGTGATACGTAAATTTACTTTTCTTTGCTGCACTGTGAAGGTGTATGGGGGAAGAGGATAGACGGGATCTTGCCCTTTTCTGTTACATTCGGGTTTCTCGCTGTAAGTTTATGGTGCTGGTTGTGTGTCTACATACTTTTCTGCTCTTTCTGCCTAAGTTCATAAGAACCCTTACAGAATATTCCTCAAGTCCTTGTATTATGAAGTAATAGGATATCAATGTCGGAAATGTTACATATTGTGACTTTTCTTATTTTTAAGTAAGGATTTGTTGCTGGAAATGACAGGATGAGAGAAAATTGAATCCTAGCAATGTAAATATTGTTAATAAAGCAAGGCATGTTTAATATTGTGGTTTCTTTGTATGTTTTGCTCCCCAGTCAATGAGATCAGCTGTGTAAAACCTACAAAAGAGTAACATAAACTTTAAATAATCCATTTAAAATAAAAAAGAAAATTTTTACTGTTGTTTATTTCCTCTGATATCTTAGCACCATCGCTTAATCTAGCAGTAATGACAACAGCAGGATGTGCCCAGTTGTTGTAGCGTGTTGTGCTCTTTGCTTGACAAAACATTGTATTCCACACTGTCAACAGGAACAAGCTGCACCTTTTTTAAAATTTGTATTTTAACTATACTTCAGAAAGTATTTCTTCGCTTTGCAGTGCCAAGATAATAACCCCCACAACCCACGCTCATTTCTGTTCCTACACCTTCCCCTCAGTTGTTTCAGCACATCTGTCTGTCAGGCTGAATAATAGAGTTGGGGAAATGATCAGGGGACAGAATAACTCAGTACATCCTTATTTTCCCTTCTCCCCCCTCCCCGCCCCCCGGTCAGTTCTCCAATGGTATTTACTGGCACAACTGAGAGATGGCGTGGAAAAAGGGGAAGACATAGTAGGAGTTCCATAAAATGTCTTCCAAGTATGATGTCACCTGTATTAAAAATACTTTTCTTTTTCAGGAAAACTTCATGGAAGTAATTAGAAACCAGGAATTTCTATTACTGCCAGCCACTGAAATTGCAAAGCTTTTAGCAAGTGATGACATGAATATTCCTAATGAAGAAACTATACTGAATGCACTACTTACATGGGTTCGACATGATTTGGAACAGAGGAGGAAGGATCTCAGTAAACTCCTGGCTTACATTAGACTGCCTCTGCTTGCTCCACAAGTAAATAGTTCATTTCCTCTACAGTTTATACCATGGTTACAATGGGCATAATGTCTAGAGCATCGGTATAGCGATAGTGAGAAATCATAAAAGCTTCAGGATTCTTAATGGTTTGGATTCTTAGAGCTGCATATAAGGACTTAGCACGTTGTATGGGCATCATAGTTTTTGTCAGTTTGTGAACTGCAGCATATTCTGATCCTAACCTGAGATCGGTTAGGACACAAGAAGGGGTAGAGCTGCTAGGAAAAAATCACTTCTGTTGCATAGGAAAATGCTTATCCAAGGATATATGTGTCACTAGAAGATGTGTCCTTTTTAAATTTCTTCTTATGGAACTTGCATAGTTTATTTGGATCATTACATTTCCTTCATGTGGTTATAGCTATTCTTGAGATTTAGAAAATACAATTTGAATAAATTATTTGGAGAGATTTTTCTTCTATTAACCCTTGAAAAACAATCTTTGGGTACATTTTGTTCTTCCTAATCAATACTTTTTACTTCTTCTTGGACATTTACACCCAATATTGAGGAAGACTTGAGCTCAGTTTGTTTAAATAGTTGTGAATTACAGTTTTTCTAGTCCCATAGGAATGACTACTTATGTCTCACAACAGTGTCGTGCAGCACTGTATTAATTATCTGATAGCATATGCATTAAACTAGGTTTAATTTTTTTCCTTTCTTCTCTTGTGCTGGCCTTCCATGTTGGACCTTCATTAGTAATTAACAATTACTATTCAGTCAAAAGGATTTTGCTTTAGAGTTTGCAGTTTCTTTAGTGAGAATTATCTCTGTTAAATGAAGAAAATAGGATTTTATGGAACCCGAATTCATTAGCACAACAGAAACTGAGTTTGATTCATTTGTAGTGATAAATCACATACCCAACATTCTGTGCATTACCTCTAATCTGGTATCCTCTTGCTGGGTAGTAAGATTCACCAGCAAGCATTTTAGAGTTAATATTTCCATATTGATTATTACATATGCAGTGGCAGGATTTTCTCAGATGTGGCCTTGACTTCGTAATTCACTTTTTCTAGAAATGTAATACAGTGTAAGACAGTTGACCTGGAGGAAATCATTCTTTTGTTGAGCATTTAATTGACAACTAAGTAACCACAGCTGTATTCCTTTTAATTAATTGACTGTAACTGAAATCTTTAGAAACTGAAAGTACAGAATTTATCCCAGAAATATGTACTGAAATCAAATTATGTCCACTCAGTAACTGATTAGGAAAATAGCAGAATGAAACACAAAAGCAATATCCTATTTCACTTATTCTTTTACCTTTTAATTTTCACGTCTTCTCCAAATATATAAACTTATTTCTAATACAATATTATTCTGTTGCCTTTTTATTTATCACTTTCTTTAACAAATTAAAGTGTTCAAGCTGTGATTTTTAATATGGCAACAATTAGTGTTGAGTAAAGGGGTTTGAAGTGCAGACGTAACGTTTTCAGAATCATGTTTTGCTTCATGATCACATGATATTAGGCAGTCTGACAGCAAACATAACATAATGAAAAGGTTTCCAATTTTACGGTTGAGGGGTTAAAGCTATTGAAAGAAATGAAATTAGAAAATTGAACAACTTGCTAAAATCAATAACATTGCAAGCAGAAATGCAAAGAATATTAGATTCGTACACTTCAAAAAAACTCCAAACTTTGGGAAATACTGTGAGACTGTAGCACTGGAAGCAAAAAATTGTAATGAATTGTCAGTTTTATTGGTTGTGGTTTTACACATCTCTCTGTGTGTAGCATTCTGTCATCTCTCTGGTTAATGTAAGCAGTGTCCTAAATATCTGTAATTCTCTTTTTGCTCTTGCAAAGGCTAAAGTTGAATATTTGTCAGCTTCTGAAGCTATAAGGTGTCAAGCATTCCATCTCTGATAAATTAGTGACAAAAATGATTAAGTGATTTCTGATTTGTGAGGTGGTTCAGTTTCCTTTTAGTAAGAATTTCTTAGTATTTAAGTATCTTCATTACCTTCTCTTCATCAGGTTTCCAATGACTATGATTTCATGCTAACACATCATTTGTAACTGCTCAGTTATAAATGCTTTTAGTACAAGGAGCTATGTAAATAATAAAACTTGGGAAAAAATGGCTTTCATTTAAGTAGGCCCATTCCATGTTCTTTGAGTGAAGAATACTTACAGAAAATTGTAATACCGTAAGTTACGTTTCAAGAGCCTGCAGGTTTTTTTAGGTACAAAAGCAATCTGAGATTGCCTTTCTTTTTTACTGAGATGAAGTTGCTTTCAGAAATTGAGCCTGTGTTACGGAGAAAACTTCTTTATAGTTTGAGGGGTTAGAAACTGGAGAAAACGTAGGTTGCATCTTGTTGCAAAACTCATATACACGCATGGTGTTGCTTTCCCTATTAAGCTTATGACCTATTACGGTGTGACATATGCAAACATGAAATACCTGGTCAGTTTTTGTCAGCTGTCCTGGCTTTGTCCCCTCCCAGCTTCTTGTAGAAGAATCTGGGAACACAGGTTCAGTGTGAGAAACTGGAAAAAGTCACTTCATTTAATAGAAACATTGCTTGACAACAACTGAAACCACTAGTATATTATCAACATTGTTCTCAGCACAAATCCAAAACATAACATCATACTTAACTACTGTGTAGAAAACGAATGCTATCCCAGGCAAAGCTGGTGCATTCATTGATTATCCCACCCCACCCCAACTGTGTGCAGTTTTATAGCCTTGTATGCTGGCAGTTAAAAGACAGCTTTTAGTTTAATATTTTATAATCACAAAGTGCCCTGTGAAGTGATAAAAGTGCTGAGTGATGCTTTGGGTCAAGAGAAGAAACTGAAAGTAAAAGGGAAAGTACTGAAAGTAAAGAATGAGAATTAAGTTTGCTCCGTTAATTTACCCAAGAACATTTTCATTTGTTATTTTAAATGGAATCAGAACGTTAGTCAGTTAGAGAAATACTGAAAAAGTCAGGCTCAGTTTTCTGGTGAAGGGCTTTGAAAGTGGTTTTTTTTTTTTTAATTCTCTGTGTTAATTATGTTTTCTGTCATAGTTTTGGTTAATGTGCCGGCTTCAGAGATGTTCAGGCTTAGCAGTCTGTACTCCTCTGTATCTCTTCTGGAACCATGGATGTCATACATCTGCCACTTCGCAGTCCTAAGGCAGCATTAAGCCAGGGATATGCACACCATGTTACACACAACTATTTCATAGCGAGTCCCCTTAGTACTCCTGATTACTAATTACACAGCAATTTTGTACCTGTTATTGTTTGGCTGACAACAGCTTAACAAGGGCATAAAGCCACAAACCAGAATGAGACAGTTCTACTACTCACAAAGTGTTTGAATGTTGTGATGACAGTTCAGAGGCATTTGCCTCTTTTCTCGTTGTTCTGACAACTGTCCAAGTCCCAGTGGGGCACTTCACTTGTGGGTTTTTTTCTCTGTTACTCAGGCCATGTCTGAAAAATGCCAGTTGTCCAGACTTCCAGTAATTACAGTTGGGACACTCAAACTACTCATATATTTTTCCTGCAGTCTGACAAACACGGAGTACAAAAGACTCCAGAATATTTAAACTTAGTAACTTTTATTAGTAGTCTTTATTTAACTTGAGTTTTGTCAGATTTAAAACTTAACATTTCTCATATTTGCTTGCATTCTTGATCTTCAGATGTTTAACAAAGACTTGTACTAATCGATACACAGTGATCTGGGCATTGTCAGAGTGAGAAACAGAATATATATTGAAATATTCAGCCTGTGCCTGAAGCAGCTTTTACAGATATCTGGACTGAGTGGATTCCAGAGTAAGAGCTTGAGGTTGTACTGACTTAATGCCCAAAGCCTGATTCCATTTCCTTGAACATATCTGTAGTGGCACTGGGTTGAGGAGATTTTGTTTTCTTCCTTTGGACCACTAAGCTTAAATCATCCAATAAGATTAGATGGCCTTCTCTTTTTTATACTTAAGGGCTTATCTTAAAAAGTGAATGTTTTGGTTATTACAAGTTTATCTTTACCCTGGTCTTTTTTTTTTAATACGGCCATTTTGAAATTACATAGATCTTAAATCGGGCCATGGAAGTCTTTGGAGAGCATGTTTTCTTGTAATCTTGTTTTTATTTTTCATGTGGTTTATAGCAACAAGCTTGTTTGATTCTTCTTTTTCACAGTTTCTGGCAGATATGGAAAATAATGCACTCTTTAGGGATGACATTGAATGTCAAAAACTCATTATGGAAGCAATGAAGTACCATCTGTTGCCAGAGAGACGACCTATGTTGCAAAGTCCTCGCACCAAACCTAGGAAATCTACCGTGGGCGTGTTGTTTGCAGTTGGAGGAATGGATGCAACAAAAGGTATCGACTTATATAATGATTAGTTGATGAGCTGTTTTGGTTCCTAAAGAAATGTTTGATAGATGTTTTTACAATGTGTTAATGCTAAAATTCAAAAATTCTGCACTGACATCTTAGATGTGCACTGTTTATTAGGTTAAAAAACCTGTGTAGCTTTGATAATAGTGTAAACATTCTGGAAGCTAGAGTTATGATTGATTTGAAATTATCAGGGGAATATCTGATTTCTGAGTAGTGAAACGTTGAATTGAGTGAAAACTAATCTTTATTTACTTGAGTGGGAAGTAATTTGGAAGAAAGGAAATGACAGAAAAGGGCACAGAGGTGATCTGCACATGCATTTAAAAAAAAATGCTTTTTGACTATTTGTTAAATGGTTCAGATGCTACATGCATTTTTTTTTAATAGACACTTCAATACTGTTTAATGGTAGTCAGAAGGAATCTGTCGAGACAGAAAAGTGATGGCAGAGAAAGTGGTTTTTTTCACTCACTTTAAAGTTAACACTTCTAGTACTTCATGTCACATAGCTTCGTATTTTTTTCTAATGTTACAAAACAGTTGATTACAAGATACAATTGCATTTCACAAGAGTTGTTTTATATTCCTAACATTTGTATTTCTAAAGGCTTGTTTCTGCAAAGCAGTTAGAAATTCTGCTTTCTGTCTTGAAAAGCACTGAGAAAGTCCTCCTTTATAACAGTGCAGTTAATTCCTGAGGAAGTCAAAAAAGACTATTGGTACACATAGAACTGAGAACATGCTGAAGGATGTCATGCTGTCTTGCGGGATCAGCGTATTGGTGAAATCAAACTCTATCCTAATGATTCAGACCTGTTTGGGGTTTTTTTGACTTGCATATGTTGTCTGTCATTCAGGGGCTACAAGCATCGAAAAGTATGAACTTCGCACCAACATGTGGACTCCTGTTGCAAACATGAATGGACGAAGACTACAGTTTGGAGTAGCAGTCTTAGATGACAAATTGTATGTTGTTGGTGGCAGAGATGGACTCAAAACATTGAATACCGTGGAGTGCTACAACCCTAGGACAAAAACATGGAGTGTAATGCCACCTATGTCCACTCATCGACATGGTCTTGGTATGCAGACTTTTGTAAAGGCTGAACGTGTGTTTTTAAAAGGTTATCTGTTTTAGGATTGGTCAAGAAACATTCAGAAATTAAGTTTAGGAGGTTGTAAACTTTGTTTAAATGTCAACTGCTTATTGAATGTCTTTTCTCCTTCAGGTTATATCCAGCACTGGCTACCAAAAGGAAATGTCTTTTTTTCTGTGTGTGGTGCACACTGGACTGTCACTAGGAAAATGTGATCTTTTTTCCCCCTTATTCAGAAGCAATTGTTTTTCATACCTGTTTTTTTCAGGAGTAGCTGTACTGGAAGGTCCCATGTATGCTGTAGGAGGACATGATGGCTGGAGCTACCTGAATACAGTAGAAAGATGGGATCCACAGGCTCGTCAGTGGAACTTTGTAGCTAGCATGTCAACTCCAAGGAGCACTGTTGGTGTAGCAATATTGAATGGAAAGTACGTGAAGGCAGCTTCTGTTTTCTATCTCATTATTTTAATGTAATTACAGGACCTTCCTAAATGAGCATTAATAATTTCTGTTGATAGATACCTCTTGAGAGCATTAAGAACCAAGTTTCTTCATCCACAGAAAAGATGCTGTATTGAGTCAAGCAAGCTTCTCCACAGCATCACAGTACCCCTCAATATCACCTATGAGACACCAGCTTTATGGGCTGAGTAGTTACCATCCCCTTAATACAGAAGGGAGCAAATGGTTGTTCTCTTTCACTGAGACTCCAGTGATTTCCTCTTACTGTGATAGTTTCAACAGTCAACTTCCAAAATTACTGTGAAGTCGTGGAGGAGTACTGGTGTTATATTGCATTAATTCAGAACAGAAAGCTCTGGCAGAATGAATCTAGTATCTGAAATTTCTACAGCTGGTCTTCAGTGAAAATATGCCTAATTGCTAATACAAAGCATATTCAGACAACTAGGTCATACTATGTTGCAGTCACAGGAAATGGCTTGGAGTGACCTCAAGGAGTTCCCTAATCCATTCTGCTACCCCAAAACTGAATCAGTTAAACCTGAAACACTCATAGTCAGAGTGATCTTGTTCTTAACCTCCAGCGGTAAAGTTTCCCTAACTTCCCTAAGCAATCAGCATAACTGTTGATACATCTGTGAAGTTCTCATGTCAAGTCTTCAATACCCTTCACTGATTTGCATTATTATTGTTTGTACTATCCGAAGCGAACATGGAAAATGCATATTTTCTTTCCTATTTGCAACAGCCTGTCGTATTTAAAGACACATGACCCCTCAGTATTCTGTCATCAGGACTGAGTAACTCCAGCTCCTTCAGTCTTTATTTGTAGGCCATGATTCCTGGAGTGATTTCCACTGTTTCTTTGGACTAAGTGTGATTGTTCTATAGCATCCCAAAACATAAGCGGTACTTAAATGGAGCTATTAGGAAATTAAAGATCAGTTGGAATCACAGAATTGTAGAATAATTTGGATTGGATGGGACTTCCCAGAGTCATCTGATCTAACACCAACTCAGAGTAGGGCCAACCTTAAAGTTGGATCTAGTTTCAGAGTTAACTGATGTAGTTCAGGTCATACCTGAGTTCATAATATCTCCAAGGATGGAGATTCAACAGCCTCTCTGAGCAACCTGTTCTGATATTTGACAACCATTGTACTGAATATTTTTCTTCTTATATCCAATTGAAATTTCCCGTGTTTGAACTTGTCTTTCTTCCTCATTTCACTGCATACCTCTGACAATGTCTTCTATATAACCTCCCATTATGTGGTTGAAGACAGCAGTAAGATCCTCCTTAGCTGTCTCAAGAACTCTGAAGACTGCACAGGGGCAGTTGTCTCAGCCTTTCATCAGATGACATGTGTTCTAGCTCCCCCTTCGTCTTACTGACCATCAGCTGGACTGGCTCCAGTATGGCAAGATCTTTCACTCACTGAGAACCCAAAGCTGGACACAGTATCCAGAAGCAGTCTTGTATGTGCAGAATAAAAGGGATCGGCTGTCACTACTCCAAGGGCATACTGCTGACTTCTTGTCTGCCAGGACTTCTAAGTCTATTTTTGCTAAGGTGCCACCTCTCCTGCCAGCTCCCAGCCTGTACACGGGAATATGCCATCCCCGGTACAGGACTTGGCATTTCCTTTTGCTGAACTTCATGAGGCTACAGTAAGCCCATTTTCCCAGCTTGTCTGGGTTTCTCTGAATAGTAACTAAGTCCTCCTGTATATCAGCCACTCCCCTTAATTTGATATTATCATTAAACTTGCTGAGTTCCACTGCATCTTTCAGATAATGCATGAAGGCACTGAGCACTCTCAGACACAGTATCAGCCTGGGAGGAACACCACTAGTAACCAGCTGATCCCAACCCTTTGGGCCCAGTAGTCCTTCCAGTTTTATACCAGCCTTGTAGTGGGCTTATCCAAACCATATTTTGCCAGGGTAGCTACAGGAATACCACGGCAGACAAAGCTAACCTGAGTTGCTGAGCAGTGTTGTGGTTGTGGCAGAATATTTACTCTCTCGACCACAAATTTGCGCTTCCTGCTTATGTGCTATCTGATGCATCTTCTTTGTGCTCTTTGTATATTGTAAGGTAGAAAAGCTTTTCACACTTTTTTTTTTTGAAGGTTAGTTTGCTAACTAGTTCGATTATTTGATTAGTTCTAAGAATTGATCAGTCATGGAGTGCTCCTAAAACCAAACTTTACCTGCTAGCCTTGTCAAAAAGTTGAAGTCCTTTCTTACTACCAAATGCTAGAAACCTTTTTGTTAGAACTGAGCAAGCTAGGCCACCTAGTGGGGGTGAGGGACTTCCCGTGGCGTTGTCATCAGCTACAGCCCACGTCAGTGCCTGAGACAGGCAGGGCAGAGCGGTTGCATGCACACATCCAGCACTGAATTTGTCCCTCTGACCCTGCTAGAAATGGGCCTTTGTCTGTCAAGTCACACAAGCAGTTTTGAAAATGTTAGCTGTAGGCATGGTTGGAATATAAATGCTGTGTTATAGATACCAATTTTCTGTAAATTTTTGTTATTACGCGTTGATCATGACAACAGAAAAAGATTGGAGCAAAATCTTACTCGAGTTTTCACAACAGAACGTTCTATTGAAAGGTGAAATTCTCCTAAACTTTGTTCAGACAATATTTATTTACTTTTTTAATTTTTTTTTTTCCACTTTGTAGGCTTTATGCAGTTGGTGGTCGAGATGGAAGTTCTTGTCTTAAGTCGGTGGAATGTTTTGATCCGCATACAAACAAATGGACCCTCTGTGCTCAGATGTCAAAAAGAAGAGGTGGTGTAGGTGTAACCACCTGGAATGGGTTCTTATATGCAATAGGTGGTCACGATGCCCCAGCATCAAATTTAACATCCAGGCTGTCAGACTGCGTGGAAAGGTAATATCCTGGTGAAGGCGTGTCCTGCTAGTAATTCTGATAGTGCTAGTTTATAGAGTGATTTATGGAAAGAGCTGTACGTAGAAACCCAATAAAATAGCCATGTTATTTTTAGCATGAGCAGAGGAAACTTGGGTATAAAAACATACTGTGTAGGTACATTTGAAAATGTTGCCAAGACAGATTATTTACAGCAAATCCTCCCTAAAAGCACTTCATCTAGAAAAGGACTCTTTTTCCTAACAATCTCATGAATGAATTATGATTGATTAATGAGATAACTTGGAATTGAATGCTTTTAAAAATGGAGCAGAACTTCTTTCACACAAGAAGTGTGTATCAGTTCATATTACAGCTTTTAAAGGAGTTAACGGTTAGGGTTTGTGGATCCTTAAATATCCTATTATTTCTTGTATCCCCTGATGGCACTGGGAAACTGGCATATAATTCAGTCATTCCAAAGTTTGTGTTTTCCATAAATTTATTAATGACTGTATTATAAATTGCAGAAGCATATGTGATCCATAAAATAATTTAAAATTACAGTAAATACTTCATAATATTCTGCATTACATCTTCCCTGGCATTTCAAGTATTTCTGAAACAAGGTTTTATTATCTGTGCCCGCACACCCACACCCCTGCCAAATTGTAAAACTTCTTTCCTGGTATCTCCCAACACTTAACAGTTATTCTTCATCACCCATCTTCTCCTTTCACTAAATTTCTTTAAGCTGGGAGATGTAATTCACCCTCTACCAAAAGAAGAAAAAAAAGAAACGCAAAATAAAACACCACCAACAAAAAAACCCACCACCACCAAAGAGCTGTAGTTTTCAAACTTTCAGTGTCCTAATAGACCCCAAAATACATAGTGTGGCCCATACCACTTAATATGTGGAAGTTGCACCAAAAAGACCCCAGAAAGGTTTGCGGATACGAAGCCACATGTTAGCGAACACCAAATATTTAGAGGAATACAGATAATTAGAAGCCCAAGAGAAAGCAATAGGTCCATGTATGTTTCTGCATCAATATTCTCTGAAACAAAGTTGCAGAAAACATGACCTTGATAAATAGGAATCATTTCATAATGCATTTTGTCCTCGTGCTTTACATGATGTGAAACTGAGGATCATCAACTCGATGGAAATAGTTAAAGGAACTTTTTGGTTAGTTAAAAGAATTTTTCAGTAAAAAATTACCGGTTTCATAATACCACACTAAGCTTCTGAGTATTTGTTTACCACTATATTTTGCAAGAAAAGTTGCTTTTCCCAGATAAATACATTGGTTTATAAATTAATTGTAAAATAACTTAAATTGGATAGTAAATTCTATTTGTAGCTCACTAATCACCCTCTTTCACTGCATTATACTTCTGTTTGCAGGATGTGCTTCAGGCAGCGTTTTTATGTTAAGATTATGCCTGCATGCATTTCTGAGGTACTTTGACTGCAGATAGAATTGGTAGACCTCATTGTATCTGTGCTCTTCATGCAAACAAGTGAAGATTAGTATCTTCCAAACTTACTTTGAGCAAGTGTGGTCTTAGGATGGTGTCTTAGCCAAATTAATGTTTTATTTGTGTAGCCCTTCAGAGCTCTGTGATCACGTCAGTACTGCTGCAACCATCTGTAATCTTAACACTGGCCCTTTCAGTCAGGTTAAAATAGTGTTCCTTGACACAAGAATAGCATGAATTCTCCCGTGTAGCTCTCTGTGCTAGTTTTACTTGTAAAATTTTAGAGTTTGACTTGTAAAGAATGTTGCTATCATTCTAGAATCTCATTTTTCGTTAAACCATCTGTCTCTCACTGTGCTGTTGCTTCTGACGGTACAGAGCTATGATTAAAGAAGCACTGAAAATTGTCTTAAGGGTTTTGCATTTCCCCCAGAATTTTCTCAGGTTGTTCTTTGGTTTTGGTTTTGGGTTTTTTTTAAACGGTTTTGGTTTTTTTTAAGTATTTCTCTTTAGTACCACACTCAAATTTAATAGCCTGTGCTTTGAAGTGTAGTAGTTCCCACCTAGAGCAAGCGCTTGCTCTACTACAGCGTAGCAGCAGGACTGTTTCTGGAGCGCTACGGTTAGGCATACAGTAAGAAACGTAGAAAAGAGCAGCTGTGTGCAGATGTATGTACCACTGTATGGAAAGCAGCACAAAGTAGATAGATAGCTAGTACTGACTCTGTTTCCAGATGATTAAAGAAACATTTTCTAAGAACGGGGGGGAAAGTCCACACCCAAATCTGTGCTGTCCTAATAATACCTGTTTCCTCCTATCTTAAGAACGTCAATTCCAGTATTTTTTTTTCTTTTGCATTTTGGCAACAGCTTTAGTGTATAACACAAATTATCTTTTAGGTATGATCCAAAAACAGATATGTGGACTGCTGTGGCCTCTATGAGCATCAGCAGAGATGCAGTGGGAGTATGTCTTCTGGGTGACAAGCTGTATGCAGTTGGAGGATATGATGGTCAAACGTACCTTAATACAGTGGAGTCTTACGATCCCCAGACAAATGAATGGACACAGGTAGAGTTTCTGATCAGACCATATGCTGCGATTTATCTTGTTACTTCAAGTGTGCCTCTATTTACAAGGAGAATTCAAATACTCCTTCTCTAAGAAGCATTTTCTTACTAGTCTTTTGTAAGTCTCTCTTTTTTTGTCTACCGTCTTGAGATGATGCATCTTGAACCGACGGTTAACGTCTTTCTTTGGCAAGAGTATAGCTATTTTTCTTTGACAATTTCAACTACTGTTAATAAAATGTATTGACATGTTCCCCAAACTGTTATAAAGGGTTCTGCTTTTACATTACTTCCTACACTCAAGCTAAATGATAAATGTAGATTAGTTTTAGCTCTGATGTGTGTCTCAGCAAGTTTATAAATTTCTTCAACGTTTAGGTCATCTTTTCATAAATATTCCCTTCCTGATGTAAGTATAGTGTGTGCAGCTTTCAGGAAGCCTTTTCCCATTTCTCCTCACCCAGCTCAAAAAAAAATTAAAAAAATCTTCAGTTCAGAAACTATTAGTGTCCATTCAAAGCTTGGTTACTTTTTTTATAGGAATGTGCCTCTCTCTGTGGGAAGAGCACAGACAGGGACATCCTGGGCAGGCTGTCGTTTGGTGTCTAGTGTCATTTGAGATACCCTAAAGCGTCTGCATCCACAGAAGGCTGGCAGATACAGCACAGAGTCTATGGGAGCCCAAAGCCCTTCTGGAGTGCAGCTGCAGACCAGGATGAATTGGTACAAATTGAAATCAGGGAGGTTTAGATTAGATATCAGGAAGAAATTCTTCACAGAGAGGGTGGTGAGGCACTGGAACAGGTTGCCCAGAGATGTTGTGGATGCCCCATCCCTGGAAGTGTTCAAGACCAGGCTGGATGTGGCTTTGAGCAACCTGGTCTAGTGGAAGGTGTCCCTGCCCATGGCAGGGGGATTGGAACTAGATGATCTTTAAGGTCCCTTCCAATCCAAACCATTCTATGATTCTGTGAACGTCCATGGTCATCTAGAATAGCATTAGACACCAGTATTTAAGCAGCTGAATTCTGACCTGGGGAAAAATAGAAATACAGGAGTTGGCATAAACACCCTTTTTTGTCTTCAGGATAATCTCTGTAGCACTTAATGTGCTCTTCACACACACTCCAATACTATTAAGTTTAAAAGGGGAAGATAAGGTGAGTGTTAGAAACTACCTTTGTCTTTTCAAATCCAGCACAATCTCAGCGGAAAAGGGTCTTGCCAGAAGTGAGTCTTTTCCTGTGGAAAAAAAAAAAAAAGAATGGAGACAGGGAAATTAATCTGATTTCAAGAACTCTTAACAGGACTTTACCAAATACCGAAGTAAAAGTGAGAGGTTGCCCCTGTCATGGTTGGCGTTTTCCGTTTGACAGAAAAATGCACCATTTTCCCAACCATTACTCAGTTGTCAGACTGTCCAGCTCAGGTGTTCAGTTTGTACCATAAAAAAGGATTCTTTTTCCTGTATTACCAAGTAACTGAAATTATCAGTAAGAATTCTTTCATATTCTTGGGGTTTGGTGTTGCCTTCAGAGTGCTTCACACTGTCATATAAAATATCTTCACCTTTTCTGTGCGTTTTTATCCAAGTTTTGGACCAATTTGCTGGGGTTTTTAAAGTCGCGTTAGCAGAGTGTGAGTGATACTGCCATTCTGCTGCAGCTGTACAACTATTATTGCAAGCATTAGCTAAACACCGTCAGTTTTAGGGGAAAAAATACTTAAAGCTGACTGCATTTGTCTCACAGATGTTTTGCCTTTTTTTTTTTTCCTTACAGGTTGCACCGTTATGCTTAGGAAGAGCTGGAGCATGTGTTGTGACTGTAAAACTGTAAATTATTTTCTATAAGGCGATATTCTCCTCTGTAGACTCAGATGATTTCTTTTTTCCTCAAGCAAACGACCAGCGCGCCAATAAACACAAGGTGCAGGATACCTACCGTGGCAAAGTATTTGGTCTCAAGCTAACATGTACGTGTTGTTCTTACGGACCAATATTAAGCACTTTTTAAAAAAAAAATCATTTTTGTTACCCCTATGTTACACAAATTCTGTTTGTAAGAAAATCAGCTGCAATCAGCCAGTTGCCAGCAGAGGCCTGCTGTTTAGGAAGTTTCAAGAAATGAGTAAACTCATTAGTGAACTGTCTATAATAATGCAATGTTACAGATCCAGGACCTTGATGCCCCAAATATGCAGAGAAATGATGCTATAAATGGATATACTTCCACTGATATAACTGAGTCTATCCCTGGGTGAATACAGGTTTAGACCACATATATTTAATTTGGCTATAGGTATCTGAGCTATTACAATGCATTTACAAACCATTGTAAATGGCAGGCGTCGTGCCTGCCTTGGAAATGAAGTTGTGTATTTGGTGAATCTTTTGCACTTTTATCATCATTCCTAGTTTAGCAAACTTTCTATTTAACCAAAGCCTTATTTTAAATATTGTCTTACCATACTAACAGAAATTTGCTATTTAATAATTTCTGCCGGAGATGTTGGACATCCAGTGTACTTTTTGGATTTTCAAAGTTTTTACATGAGATGCAGAACATCATACCTTTTTCTGTACTTTGTTTCATATGTTTACTTTGCTGTTTTTAAGGAAAAATCTATAAGCATGAGTTATTGGAAGAATTCTAAAGTGTGATTAAAAGTTAACCAATTTAATATTTGCACTTTGGAATTTTTGAAGCATTCCATTGCATCTAGACTAACTGCATTTTTACACGAGGCTTTGCACTAATTTGAAAAGTATAATTTTATAAGATGAAATGAAACAATTGTCTTTCCAGTAAGATTACTTCCAAATGTAAAGGGCCCAATCCTGCAAGATGCTCAACTGCCCCCATTTAAGCAGGTTCTGCATTTTACGGGGGTTGTGGGTGCTTCGCAGGATTATATCAAATTAGTTACCTTATTTAGTAGTTCTCTAATTTTTTCAGGTATTTTATAATTTGCCTTTCTTGAGCCCTGTGCCGTTACACAGAATTGCTTTGAGCAAATTGTCTGGATGTTTTCAGGAAGTCCTTTTGTATTTGCTTTTCTGTGCCTTGTTCCTTATGTTTTCAGAAGAGTAGGCGATACCTGCGTGTTTGTAATGGAAAATGGGGAGATGCGAGCTCGTTGAATGTTTTCCGGAAGTTTGAAGCATCCGATACCCAAAGTCTTTGTACATTTGTAATTTTTACATGTGTTAATGCTCTCGGTGAACTATTTATTGTTTGAAAAGAAATTACGAAGCAGTGAAACTCTGTGACGGAACCTGCACTGTTTGCAACTCGAATACAGCTATGCTGAAGTGCGTCTTGTCGTCTTTCTCTCGCTTGCAGCCCCTTTTGGGTACGGCTGACCGCGATTTAACAGGTCTGGCTACGAAATGGGATTTTTAGTGCGCCTCTTGTTGGATTCATGGTTTCAGAAAATCTATCGTTCTGTTTACACACACAACGCCCCCACCTCACGGGACCCCGGCCGGCGGGGGGAGGGGCCTGCTGCGGCCTGGCGC